TCAACAAAAAACACATTTTTTTATACATATAGATATTTTTATGGACATTTTCTTGGTGTTGTTGTTATTATAGAAGGGGGAGTCTAGTTGGGGTTTTTTTTTTTTATCTTTTTCTAGGAGTTTCTTCACATACACCGTAATAAGCTCTAATAAGTTATAAGTTGTCATGTAATCGTTGCAGTAATTTAACAATGAATGCAGCGCGGAGCAGTGTAACACATCCGTGCAAATGCTGCATTAGGGACACCCTGAGCCACATGTTGGATCACTTGATTTTTCTAAAGCTTGAGTTGTTGTTGTTGTTTTTAAAATAATTACAATAAATGGCGATTTTATTATATTTTATTTTTTATTATTCTGTTCCCCCCAGGAATACGTTATACATTGGGTGACTGAGCTTATGGGACACCTCAGTCTGCTGAATTGAATGACTGATTGGTCAAAACAATATTAGGCAACATCATAACTTACATTTTCTGTGCAATGCAGTGATCACCGTTATATTTGTGAATATTTACCTAAACATGATGATGATCCTGAGGAGCACTGTGAAAATCTCAACTAAATGAAACTAATTTCATTTAATAATAAACGTATTTATTTATTTATTGACTGTTAAATGGAGAAACAATGGATGGGGGCACAGAGATTGTTGTATCGTTATTTCACTTACATCCCAACTTGGTGCAATCTTTCTGGTCCTTTCACTCCCACAGCATGTGGCTCAACATATCTTTAGTCACTCTATAAGACCCTGTGTTTAAAAAAAATCCAATGGACACAGAACATGTGGAAACATTATACGTCCATAAAAGCAGAATGGGGGAGATAGAAAGTTATTATACTAAAGTTCGACTATCATGAAAAGGATATTGGATCTACCATGTCAAATCAATTAGAGGGGTAAGCTGAGTCAGAAATGCGCTGTGGTGGTGGCAGCAGCGGTGAACCTAATGCATCAAAAATATAGAACAAAATGAACCCAAAACTAAATAACATGTAGCATTTACTTGGCAGATACACAGCCAGAGTCTTTTGAGGCTATATTTTGGAATCATACATATTAATGAAACTCAATAACCTTCTATGTCTCCACTAAAGATAAAGTTAGTATAGCTGCCTAATAACCTATAGGCAGTTTTGTTCTTGGCCGATTAGGCCCTCTGCTGAACCACAGCACTGGAAAAATCTCCTTTCTTTGCAAAGCCACTTACAGCATAATAGTCGAGATTAACACAATATCAGTTCAAATATAGGAGGACATCTGGAGGAAATTAAATCATAACTGATAATCTGTCCATGAGCTATAGGGACTCAACTGCTGAGCTAACAAGGTTAAATCATTTAAAAAAAAATTCCGTTCCTTAGTTTTAAAAAAATATATTGTAAATGTAACTGCTTACCCTGACAAGCAGAGTGATTGATAACCTTGATTACCCTAATTTGGATTATCCATTGACTTTCTATCATAATTTCAGTGTGTTAAAACAACAGCCAGCTGTAAAACAGCATGTGTTTAACCTTTATTAGGCCTCAGAGAATCATGCCTCTGCTGTGAGTGGGAATTTTTTTTAATTAAGTGTAATAATACATGTCTGTAAAGCAGACGCCCGCAAGGGTTTATCACTATTTTAACTCTTTTGGGGTGTTTTTGGTTTCCTACTATTTTAAACACAGAATTGTAGTTTACTTACTCACTTGTTATGACGACCACAAC